ATATAATATATATATATATATATATAGTATATATATATATAGGATAATGAGTAATTTATATAAATCAAAACTATGGTTTCTATCATGGAATTTGGAATTATATTGGTAACTGGTCGAAGAAAAAGAAATGTTTTTGAACATCAGAAATATTATCTCTGGAGACTTATAGATACCATGGGAGAGATACGTGACAGCAACCATGAGAAGCTTTTTAAACTCCAAATACATCTTTAGAAGTACTAGTGACACAACAGATATTCCTTTTGGTTTGGGAGGCAGGGTTAAGCTCTTTCGTAGGGAAGAATGTGGATGTCTTGTGAAACAGGTTACCACTTTCCACTGGTTTACTTCCATATTGGTTCCACTGGTTTACTTCCATCTTGGTCTCTGCCAGCTATGATGTGACCTGATGTATCTGTTCCTCATTGCATTTATCATTAAAACAAGAACACAAAAGTATGATTGCTAAGTTGTGATTAAATTTTGAATCATTTAGACAAATTCCCCATAAATGAGTTTGCAAAATACATATGCCGAACTGTTTGTGGCAAAAATGTCATCTTTATTCATTCACTTGATGAGCTGGCTTCTGGCCAACCTACATTGCTCAAGGATTATATAAAAAGACTACTGTTGCTGGAGTCTGCAAGTTTAATACGATTGCTTGCCTCTAAGTGTGGAACATACCTTTTATCATTGAATTGCTCAGGAATGTAATCAATTTCAAATCTGTGTTTCTGTTGAATGATGTTTTAAATGAAGTTTCTTGATCGCCTTTATTGTCTGCTCATAAACCAGTGAACATGCTGCATGTCCATTTTTTATGATTCTTCTTGTGTGAAGCACTAAAATTAGTTGTTAACTCCTTCCCAAATCCTTGAATTGCTGATAGTGTTTCTGAGCTACTAGATATTGGCTGTCATTAGTATCTGATATGATTCTTAAATAAGTTAATGAGGTTGCAGATTGACTTTAAGAAGAAGAGGTAGTAACTTTGCAGATGGTAGGCTGGTTTGAGGTTCACAAAATTATGCAGAAGAAAGGTGTGGACATGTGACAATGTGCTTATTTAAGTCCTCGGGACATGCTTATTTCAGTCGAAGTGACATTGAATGTATGATCTCAATGCACGTTTGAAACTCTTATTTGGTTGAAAGCCATTTCATTTTATCGGCTTTATTTTAATTATTACTTTGTTATATTTTTATTTTATCTGGATAAACTCTAGAGTTACATTGATACATGTTAAACCGATTGGCTAATGTTATTGCTCCTAATCCCTGGTTGAAGACTTTAAGCAGTCTTTTACGCGGAAGGTCTAGCTGAAAGTGTTTAGAGAAAAGATTTAGCTAAAATAGGCTTGAGATCAGCTGTTTATGTTGTATTTAAATGGGAAGTCATTGGTTTTTGAGGTATTAATTGTTAATTTTTCTGCTTTATTTATGTGATAATAACTTGAAGAATGATGCAACTTGCATGGAATGTTAGATACTTGACACTTGTTCTTAGAATTGTGAAATGTACTGAATTTGAGGACCAGTTTACTTCTAGGATGGGATAACTAATAGGAATCTTTGCAGCATGCAAGTGCTCCTCCAGGTTCAAGATCCCGCCTTTCTCCTCTTGCCCATGAACCTGTTGGCTTTGGCTATAATCAGGATGCAACAGTTGACATACCACTGGACACAATAAATGTATGCTGTTATTTTCTGTTTTTATTTATTTATATTTTTTATGAGTATGGTACAATATATGAATATGTCCACTCTATAAAGTTTCATAGATTGTATTTAAATATGCAGGATCCCAAGAAAAAAGAGAAGGAGCTAAAAGCATGGGAAATAGACTTAAAAAGGAGGGAACAGGTTATTTTTTTTTTTCCTTTGAAGCATTTTATTTAATTTTGGCTTTTGGATTGAGTTGTGGAAGTAAGTCAGTAGCTTTATTTATTCATCATCTTTTGGTAATTCCCATGCGTTGATGTTCCAAAACAGGAAAGTCTCTAACCAAAATTTATATATTGCAGGATATAAAGCGAAGGGAAGAGGCTGTTGCAAGAGGTAAACCAGGAAGTTCTGGTTTGATGTGCTTGTTGATAAATTAGTTAGTTTTTTTACATTATTTTCAGTTTATATGGTTGAACTCATGGTTTGGATATCGATGATACAGCTGGAGTGGTCACAAACGAGAAAAACTGGCCGCCATTGTTTCCTATCATTCATCATGACATCGCAAACGAAATACCACCTCATGCTCAGAGGTTGCAATATGTGGCCTTTGCGAGTTGGTTAGGTATGTTGTGGCATATTGTTTTAAACATTTTGATATGATCTGCTATAGATAGATGTTCTGGTTTCCTATTTTCTGGCTCCCTCATATATGGCATTTTTGTTAAATAAAATTATGCTATTGGGGAATGGAACATTACTTGGGCAGTGCACACTAGTACGCAAGCTTTTGGTTGCCCCTAATCAAGGGTGATTTCTATTTCGTAGAAAATAGGAAAATGCAATCACTTTGCATTTTGGAATGAACTGTCAAGTTAGTTTGCAATTTTGCAATTGATATTGCATTTTTTTGTTACGTACACTGCCTATTTCTAACACAGCGTTGCCTTTGCAGGTATAGTTCTCTGCCTTGTATTCAATGTTCTTGCAGTGACTATTAATTGGATCAAAGGAGCAGGTGAGCATTAGTTTAACTTGTCATTAAATGTGGCTAAATACTTGGAGTTCAGGTTGTTTGTAAAATCTGTATTCACGGGGGATTTCTTATATTCATTGAAATGATGACAGGGGTTAAAATCTGGTTCCTTGCTGTCATTTATGCTTTGCTTGGATGTCCTCTTTCATATGTGTTGTGGTACAGGCCTTTGTACCGTGCCATGAGGTAAGATTTTTTCATTATGTTTTCATATAAAAGTTTGGTGGTTACAGATAAACTCTTTCTGGTTAGGTCTGTTCTCCTTGATAGACCATCACATTTGTCTGCATTCTGAGTTGAAGAGAAACATCGTATGGGTAATAAACGACATAATAAGCTGTTCTTATCTGTAATTAGCTCTGTGTCCTTGATTTCTTGAACATGGAAGACATGATAGCGAGGTTGTATGAGAACTTGATATTGGTGATATAATATCTTAAATTATTATATGTGCTTGTGACCATTTTAAGACTATTCCATGTTCTTAACACAATAGGAAATGATTAGAGGTTTATAAAGTTCTCTGTTTTCTAGAATTGCATCCTTATTTATTTAATGGCGACTAGCATATGAACCTTTTTCAGCTACTGGTATTAAATTTAGCAGACCAACCTGTGAGCCACTATCAATAGGTATAACAAACATTGGTGAAAGTGGATTCATTTTACTATTAGGAATGCTGGCATGAAACCACATGACCAGTAGGTGTTTCTTTGTGATTTGATTTGGCTAATGAACTTTCTCATTTCATATTATTTTCTATTCTTTCAACACGTAGTTCTTAGGTTATTTATTTGAGATGTTATTTATCAGCCATAGGTTAAAGTCTCCCACTGCTTTTAGCAACCGTTTTTTCCCCGTGGTGCGAGAAAAGGTTATCTGTGCCATATATCTCCTGTTAGGGATCGAGATGTGGCTGGTAGGCATGTCATTGGTAGATATGTTGGGAATCGCATGTTATAGGCAATTTGTTTTCAAAAACAGTTATTCTGATGTGATGCATGCTTGCTACAATGTGCAGGTGATTAAGAAATTTTTTAGTACTTTGTGACGTCACTAACTGGTGTTATTTATTGCTACTTATACACAGCTTTCTTTGCGTCTTTGATATGCGTGAGTTGGACATGGTGTTATGACATTCATAGATGTGGGAATCTTCTATATTTACATCATTTTGTGAGCTAGAAAGTATGTGATTTTATGATCAAAAGAAGACAAATTGAAACTAGAAAAATAGAAGATCAGTGGTAAAGCATATATTGGTAGTAATTGATAATAATATTTTGGTAGTTTTAGACTAGGAGTGTCTATTGTAAATTTATTTTTCTCAATTGCAGAGTTTCTTCTGTGATTTAACCCCATGGGTGTTTCAGTTTTTTTTTTTCCCCTTAACGGCTACGGTAACTAATTCGGCACCAAGTTTTTACATTTTGTTGGCTTGGGTTAATGTTGTCTTATCTACAAAAATTTTTAGTTTGAGAAACATTGTTGCTTTATTGATGGAAAGTAAAGTAACAAGAGATTAACACTGGTTTGTCTGCAAGACAACATTACTTGGTATGGATTGAGATACTCATTATCATGACCAAATTGGAGTGGGACTCTGGGAGGCTGACTATTTCAATGACATTTGGGATAACCCACAATTCTTTTAATCAAGGCATTTCATTGATGAATGTGGTCTAAGCAAGTTTTGTTTCTGATTATCCAGGACGGACAGTGCCTTCAAATTTGGCTGGTTCTTTATGTTGTACTTGGTGAGTTTATATGCACATGTGTAACATGGGGTAGTTCCCTTCCTGTCCCATTATTGACAACTGTTGTGGTGCAGTTTCACATTGGCTTCTGCATATTTGCTGCCATTGCCCCTCCTCTCTTTTTCAAGGGGAAGTCATTGACGTAAGTACTTTTTATTCGTTTTATTTTAAAACCATGTTCAAAGGTGTTGATATAAGTTCTATATTCCAATTGATGACTCTGCGCTTATTATCTCTTCTTGATGCTACACGCTGGACTATTTGTTGAATATATTTTGAACAGTTATATTATCTTTTGGGCAAGTTTTTTTTATGGATGGGCTGTCCATTTTTACTGCATTGAAGGACCCCCTTAAAAACTGTCCATTTGTTGGACGGCAGCTGCCACTCTAGCTGCAACTCTGCACTGTCCATTTGTTGGATTACAAGATCTAGACTTTTAAGCTCTCTCTCCCTCTCTCTCTCTCTCTCTCTCTCTCTCTCTCTCTC